ATCTTTTTGATGCGTACATCATAGAACTGAAATGCGACGGTAAGCTCGTTTTGTATATTCCTCGATCCTTGCCAACCGTACAAGTTGAAGGAAAAGCAGGACATGCGATCGCGTATTTATTTTGACCTGGTTGTTGTTCGTCAAGGCGTTGTCGCTTGAGGGCTAGGAAAGCAGCAGTCTCCCGGTCGGATTTGGTTTTACTCGAGGCGACCTTAAAGACAGTGACCATTTCTTGCAGCTCATGGCGGATCGCCGGCCTCCACTGTTAGCCAAGGTAAGGAGGTGTTGTCGCGCAATATTTCAAAGGGTAGAGCTTTTAACGCGGTCGTTAGGGGATAGAATATTGGCTTACTAAAACAGCAAACCAATCAGTTTTTTGGGGTATTTTAAGGCTTGATCTCTGAAGTGATTAATGGGAGTGCTAGATTCACGGACAATTTAAGAAACTTATTTTGCTTTGTTGTTCCGCGTTTTGTTTGTATAGTAGAACTCGCATCGACCGGTGTTTCTATGGAAGATCCACGTTTGAATTTGTAGAACCTCTTTACGTAGCAAAGCTTTGTTTTTTATCATAAATTCGTCTTGAGGCACTTTATGTGGTGCTTGATTAACGTTCGCCTATGTTACTCGCAAGTGGAGGAGAGTGCAAGGAAAAACAACATTCCTGTTGCCTCACAAGCACTGCTTTATAATATCGTATCAAAGGTAAACACAATTCAAAACTTCTTGCGTAAAAACTTGTTGCGGTCGAAGTTTGGATGTGGCTACTGTATGTAACCCAACTCACCGTCCACCAACGCTTCAACTTGCTACTCCGCCGCCGTTTCAATGCTTTTCTTGAACTATCCTAGTATTTTTTCGGTTGCAACCGGCAACGATCGTAAGAGATAGCTATTTCAGCACCACTTTCACGTTCCTCGTTATTTTTTTTTTTTTAATCTTTCACATTGCACCTGCAATAAATCAGCTTCTACGAAGTCAATATTTCATTTTCGTGGGATCAAGGGGGCAGCCAAACCAGCCAGATACCGTTCCCATTGGAAAAATACAGGTGGAGACCTGCAAAGAAATCTGTTCTTTTGGCCAATCTAGGCAGATGTTGCCACGAAACCTGGCTGTCAGTACAATTTAATGCTCGAGCTTGAGGTCGGGTTTCGTGAATGCATTTGAGGATCAAAGCAAAGTCGCGAGAATTCAGCTCTAGATGGCACTACATGACCAACCCAATAATCATTGCACTGCCACTCTAGACAAAATGTGGGATGGTCATATAAGCTTAAAAAAGTCGCATTCACGCATACATTATTAATACCACAGAAAGATTCTTAGTAGGGCTGGGCGTCGACTAAAAATTTTAACCCGATTAATCCACACCCTTTAATCGATTAATTAATCGATTTCGTTTATTCCCACGCATATATTTTGAAAAGTCAACATTAATTGTTTGCCTTTTCTAAATATGTGATAAACGGCTTAATGTACCAATTTTAGATATTAAATTAACTTTATGTGTAGTTGAGAAATAAAAAAAAAACTTAAATTATTACTTCAGGCGCAGAGGCATAAATATTATTTGATATTCTCCGACAATAGCGATCACTCTTTGATTGTTCACAATAATGTCTGCTGCGCTAAACGGACACTCGCACTGCGTTGAAGTGGCCGGGGAACGTTACCTTCTCCATTTGTTTGGACTCTGGAGTCATAAATCTTTCCCCAGTTCTCTTTAGGTCAAAATTTCACCTAAGGTTTACCTTCATGCAGGTGTACTTTTCCGCGTCTGCGTGGTCAAAGCTTTGAATTTTTACTTTTTTATTGTTACTCAAAACGTTAACCGATCAATCAGTTAAAAAATAATCGCGATTAATACATGAATCGATTAATCCATAGGTTAATCGATCACGTTTTCAGTGCCGCACTGCACGTCAGATTTTGAAAAGTGATTTTCCGAAAGCTATTTTACTAGCCGTGTGTAAAAGTGGTCCCAATTATGTTTTTTCTTTTTTCTTTTTTTCTTGCCCCAGATGCGGGAATTTGAATTTCCGTGGAGGTGCCCGCAATCTAACAACGATTTATTGCTTAGAAGGTACCGCGTAACCTAGCTTTCGGTTGCGCGTGGTTAAAACCGGAGACGACGGAAATAAAGGGACAATAATTCAGGTTTTTTGTTTTCTCGTCAAAAAATCTCCAGGACTTCGAAATTAATCCTCAGGCCTCCGCTGGTCTGAACCAGATGCTCTTAGTTGGTTTCACCTGTAAAACTCCTTTTTTTTCCCTCTCTCCTTTTATAGTTTATTTTGACGGCATGCACCAGCAAGTTTGGCAACAGAAATATTGGTATAAACAGAAGATTTGGGAACGGTATTTTCCGTTGCTTGTATTATTAGAGATTAGAAGCACCTAGAAAAAAATATAATTAAAGGAAAAGTATGTTCGGCATCCTATAGGGAGTATTCACTGGCGGCCATAGCTGTGTGCGCGAATGCTGAGCACGTACTGATGGCGAGCTTCCACAGTTCTTTTTTGCAACGTGCATTCCGTACCATCAAGAGTGCCGGTCTTAGCAGCCTATTGATGTGAGCTCGTTCTGAGCATGCGCTCTAAGCAGCACCCACAAATGAGGCGTCCAGTGAATACTCCCTGTAGGAACGTCAATCGAAATTCCACCTTAGGAATCCGAGCAAAAAAATCAATGAAGTGTCTTCAAGATTAATGTGCTGCCGTGTGCAGTGGAACGGTGTTAAAGCGTGATTGTGTTTTTTCGATGGATGGGTTTTTGAGCTGTTTGACATTTCTGATCATTGTCTATGTTGACCCCTATCGCAAAGGTTGCGGCTTCCATGTGGTATGGTTAAAGCGCTTCTAGATTTATAGCGCATTTGTACATTTCTTTCGTAACATTTCAACCTTAACATTTCTTACAAGAACAAGAAATAGCAGCTCCATCGGTGTTATTTTAATTAATATTATTTCATATTTTTGATATTATGTCTTTTGCAACATTTTTTTCAATTGCAATTACAGAAAACCTTAGCTTATGTATTTCTAGAAAGTTACACGCCGGTGTAATTATCGCATTACCAAACATAAGTGCACCAGCTATCGTTGTAGCCGCCATAGATGAATTCGAATAAGGAAGAATAGCCTCGATAAGCGTTTTTGTGCGGTAGTAGGAGTTGATACTATGTTCAATGTTCTCTAGATACCACCACGCAAATCTACCGCCGCTTTTTTCTTGTCATGTTGCGATTTTCGAACATCAACAAGATGAGAGTATTTCACGTGCTATTTTTAGATAGAGTGCCCTAAAGGCATCAAGGTTTATTAAAATTTTTTACCTCAAATTTGCTGGTTCCTTAACCAACATTTTAATCAATCACGGATACATATACGGCTCGTCCGACGTTAACTCAGTCTCAAACGCAGTTTTAATGTCAATTTTGTCATTTTGACTGCCGTAATATATGCTTCCTCGAATAAAAGGGGACACGAACTGCGCGTATACAGCGGATTCTTATTTATTTATTTCTGTTCCCTCGTGGTCCATAGGGCATTACAGAGGGGGAGGGCATACACAATCGTACAGGAAAAAAAATTAGCAAAATAGAATGCAAACAAAGTAAGCAGTTTTGTTAGAAAATAGTCCGGCGTGTTAGCACAGGTGGTTAGTTAAATATTGTTTAATCTATGGTATGTTTACCAGAGGTTTTCTTCTTTTTTTTTTTGGGGGGGGGGGGGGGGGGGGAGGGGCGGTTCTAGTTAGATTAAGTTGATTATGAAGGGGTCGATGTATGCCGATATTTGATTATGCGGTACGCTGGATTTCAAATTATAATCAACTCGTTCCGAAATGTATGAGTACTTTTTAGTGAAGCGTGAGATGATATATTTTGTAGAAAAGGCATAAACGAGATACTTTACGACGTGATGAAAGGAGAGGAACGAATAAAGTGTTTTTTATAGACTAGACACTTGCGGTACGATGATAGTTACAACATATATTAAACGTGCGCCGAAGATTTCGCAGTGCTTCGAGGCTATAGTTACCAGTGTCCTGTGACAGGTATCCCAGGTTAATGCTTCATATGCAATCTTTGATGGAACTAGAATTTTATGCAAAAGTGGTTTTAATGACAGGAACTGAGGTCGAATTTCGTTTCAGGTACCTAAGTATAGAATTAGCGCTAGTGGTAGTGTGACAAGTATGAGTTCTCCTTAAACCTTGGAACTTACGTGAACCCCAAGATGTCACTCATTGCAATTGGATGGTACAATATGAGTATGACGATGAGAACGACGAGACACCTTCATAGCTTTAAGTTTGATAGTATTAAGAGTTGTTGGCTATAAATTGCTCCAATCGGATACCGCACATGAATCTATCGCCTTGGAGAAGTGCGGCATCTGAACTTACTCGTTAGTAACTTCTCGATAAATCACAGAGTGGTCATCAAACAAACTATATCGTAAAGATATGCGCGTTGGTAAGTCATTTATACGAATAAGGAACAAGATGGGTCCGATGACGGATCTCGGGGGAACACCCGGAGGAAAAATGCCTGAGGGAAGAGTTCGTTAGTGGTAACGAACTGATAATTGAGTAGCTTTAAAACATTCATTCCATGACAAAGTGTTAAGATCAATATCAAGTTTGCCAAGTTTAAGAAGTGTGAGTGTGAGAATCTTTATCGAAAGCTTTGCAAAAATCAAAGAAGACACTTCACCCTGGGGCTCTACGGTCATGAATGGAAAGTTGATTCCTGCGTCAGGGGTCATATGTCTCACCTCTTTTGCCCACCTTTCTTTTAATTCAACTGCAATTGCACCTTCTCGGGGCACTTTCAGGAAAGGGCTTAGAACAACCTTCACAAGGGTCGACCTATCAAGAACATTTTCGATGCATAATCGGCAATCAGGAGACCCCGGTTTGAATCCCTACCCAGGTACGGTGGTACTCGTACAATTGCTCTACCGAGTAGTTCTTTTCTTTTTCTTTTAACTTAGGTGACTGGCGCAGTTTTTGTTGGGTCTTTATCCTTGAAGAGCTCTATTTGACTTTCGATCAGCTCGTTTTTCAGGAGAAATACCAGATCTTTGATAAAGCATCTGTTTCAGAGAGTCGTCAAACAATGAAACACAAATTTCTTTCTCCTTTTCGGTTTGGGGGAGGGGGGGGGAGGTCTTATTCTTTTTATGAACACCGCTCGGCGCTCACGATTTTTGTAAGTACCGCACTTCTGAAACGACTGCGAGTCATGCGTCGGCGGCACCGGCCCAGCACGACGGCGTGTATACAATGCAACGAATCCATCGTTCTCCTACGCCGCGGCACGCATTCAGCTCCGCATGCGGTCCGGAAATGTACAATAGGCCCACCAACGTGCGACGCCATGCCTCCTTTTTATGGATCGACCACGTTCTGATCATTAACGGTTTATTATTAATAAAATAAGAGGAGAGCTCCGGCGTGTAATTTAACCTGTCCTTCCCTGACAAGGGGGCCGGGCCCTCGTGGTGCGCCGAACTGGGCCGGGCACCGTCATTTGGTGCCGTGATTTATGGCGCAGGTGTCGCGGCCATCTGCCTTTTGTGTTCTTTTTTTCGGAGAAACTGCGAACAATCATGGACCCGCATTATTATGCCCGCTTCTTTATCGCCCTGTGCCTGTCCGTAAATGTTTTTTTTTTTGTTTTGTTTTTTTCGCGGAAACGGCGTTGGGCGATTTTCCGACATTGGCGAACGATGTTGTTGTTCGTTTGTGTACGATCCGGATATAGAGACATTCGTTTATTGAGAAAGGTGTTTTGCAGCGCCATTTTTGACACTACTATAGGAACAACCGATTTCTCGCGGCTCCATCTGGCAATGATGACGTAGAATTGAAGTCAAGCTTTCTCAGAGCAGCTACACCGTACTTGTCGTTTGTAAAATAAAGCACAAGAAGAAAAATATATAACAATCATGTCTCGCCTATATGGATACACCACCCTATAGACACAATTAAAAAAAAAAAAAACAACTCGGTAATTACATACGACACATACGATTTTTTTCTTTTTTTCTAGAGAACAGGGACCTATTTTAAGGTTATATGATTGCATTTAACTCGAAATTAACGTAAGAGCAGCATTTCTATCACTTCTACTAATCTACTACATTGGTACATGCTCTTATGTTCCGCAGCCGATAGTTCGACATCTGGTCTACCCTTGTAGATCAGCTGATCTACGCTGTAGAAAAATACGTGTTTGAAAAGTTCTTTGACGTCCAAAGAACTTTTCCAGCTCGTGAAGAACGGTTTCGCCTCAAACACTATCGCCCCCTGGCGCACTAGAAAGGCAACCGGGCGATGGAGACGGTTCGCATCAAAAGAGGAGCTTGAAAGAACCACTTTTTCACGAACCCATTTTAGGGGTGCTTAAAATAACTTCTTACAATGCAATACAATATTTTTTTGAAAACTGGAGATGACGGACCAATTAAGGGTTTTTTGTTTGTCCCCTTCGTTCGTCGTCTCCGGGTTTTTACAGCGGAGCTGTTAAGGGCTAGTTCCCCAATATCGTGTCCGTCAGCAAACGAATGATGACACGAAACTCAGGACAGCTACCGCCATCTATGAGCGACGTCGGCAACCAGACAACCGGCTTGCCGGTTGTCTGGCTGCCGCCTTTGCTCGTAGATGGCGGTAGCTGTCCAGCCTTTCCACTCTGGCTTGCCGACTTGCAGCCGGCCGTTACTTTATTCCCACCATAGTACAGCTTCGCTGGTCTTCCTTCGTCACCAGAGTGGAAAGGCTGACAGTTTCTTTATTTGTTTTTGTCAAAAATGTGTCACATCAACCAGCTCGCCTGTTTACTTGCTCTTTCTTTAACAGTAGAAGACATTTTTATTTTCATTTGGAACATGTTACAATCTGTGCCCACATAAGCCAATAAGGCTTGTGCGTGGGACGTGGTGCAAAATATGGACAAGCCAGAGAACCCCGAAGAGTTATTCTACGACCAGATTGTTTTCTTAGAGTGCAGAAGGCGGGGCGACCCTCGATAGCGCCTCGTCACACAGGACAGACAGACACAAAACGTAGGTAGCCCATTTGTTAAAGATACTTTTCTCTAAACCTGATTTATCTTTTCAGTTTTACCTAGAGGGCAGAAAAAAGAAAACATATTTCTGAAGAAGCGCGGTACTGCGGTTTGAACCCTTCCTGGTCATCAATAAACATCGTGAATCGGCCATAAGCGAAAGATGCAAGTATTTTATCAGAGAATAAAATTCATCTTTAGAGGTGCGACGCCCTTTATAGTTAATTACATTCATTATTAATAGTGTCAAAGTTAAAATTACCTCCAAACCAAAAAAACCTTTTTGTGTCATGTCTCTTATGTGACAACGAACGACTTTTCAATGTTATGTATCTCCAAAAACAAAATGCCGCGAACAGAATTATCTACTTTGTAAGTGTCTAGCTGTTAACTGTGATGTCGACGCTTCATGAATGTGCAAGTTATGTCAGTCAGAGTCGCGCATGTCTAGCCGCCGCTCGACTCAAACAATCGGCCTCCAAACCAAAGTGGGCACGAATATAGGCAACAGAAAATGGAGGGCGTTGTTCCAGTTGAAGCTACCCCATCTATGATGACGTCGATAAACTCTCACAGAGCGACTTCGAATATGCTTGTTTGAAGGTTCAGTTAACACATGCTTTGGGTGCAGAAAGTTCCTTTTTTGCAGCCACATATTACATACACTGATAGCTCGAAAACGTAGGGCGTTCCGTGCGTAGAGCATCTTATTAGAGCCTCGCAGCCAATATGAATGCTGCATTAGTCAATAAGAAGACAAGAAAAGAAATCACGAAATAGCTGAAACATAAACACAGCGAGTCCTAATTTTTTTTTAAGCTGTCAATGGCTGCATTTACATGGATGCGACCGTAGCGCATCGAGTCGAGATTTCACGATTTTGATTGGTAGCAGTTGGGTAGAAGAGGAAGAAGTAAGAAGACAGGCTACGTCTGATTGGTTTCTGCTCGATTCGATGCGCTACGAACGCATTCATGTAAACGTAGCCATAAACTCTAGTTATCTTTTGTTTTACTACAATCGTATGCTATCGCCCGTTAGCGTTGAATGGAACCTAATGTTCGACGGACACACTACGTGACGTGGCGAGTCGTGGGTGTTATAATGGACGGCGAGGACTGGTTTTCCTACCTGCGGCGCCTTCTGCGCACGCTGGCCGTTATAATCACCAGCACGTGTAGCCGGAAACAGGTACGTCGTTTGACCTCTTTCCCGATCGCTTAATTTGTAGTTTTGTTGAGTTACACGAGTGCTTCGTGAGGAGGCCTAATGTTATAGCGCCGTAATTCGTATGTCACGAGTCTTTTCCAGCTACTCAGATTTATGGCGAACGCCTCCTATCTTAGACCAGAGGTGCACGAAATTATAAGTCATCAGCGACCTATAGCCCAAGAGGGGGAGCTTTGGGTGTTTCGAGCTCTTCGCCGGCGCCAGGATATCTGCTTTCGGAGTGAGTTATGTGGACGCTTGGCACTGGTACGTTATTCATTTGGCGAACGAAAACAAGCCAATGGGCCGTTGAGGAATTGTGAGGAAGTTAGCTCATAAATGATAAGTGTAGTGGTGATTTCCCCACCCTTGTTCAAATGTGTCCTCTGACTCACGCAGTTCATTGCCTAGTGAGATATGGCTACATGGTGAACCTCATTCGTGGTGATGTTCTTGTGCATGGGTTCCCAAACTCAATCCCTAGGAACTTAGGGGTAGTGCTCTGCACGGGGCCGAGCCAACCCGAAAGCCCTGGCCCGGGCTGAGTAGCGCGGATTGTCTCCGGACCCGGGTAGGACTCTGGAAATGGTGTCGCACACTTTATAAAATGTGGAGAAGGAAACTCCAAACGCCTTGATCGTTTAGATTTGAAAGAAACGAAAAGCCGAAGTGGAAACTCGCTCTGTATATTGACATTCGCATTTTTACGCCGACACATAACGTCTTGACAGCGTCTTTCATGCAAATTAGGGTAAACGAAACAAATGTACCAACACCTTCCTAGGGCAGCTTTGAATTTAAGAGATGAGGTAAGCCTTGGCCTCTGACCGGGCCGGACTCAGTGAGAGGCTCCGGTGAGAGGGTTTGGTTTGCTCGCGGACGCCCGGTATATCAGCACATGTAAGTACACGAATACACAATACTGAGCTTAATAACACACATATATAGATATTATTTTGCCGAAATTAAAGCTCCAACACAAATATCGCACTTCTACGCATCCTTTGCAGCAGGGGGAGAACCGATCAGTGCAGTTTACATAAAAATGGCTGCGAATTAAATAACGCTTCGGGTAAAATTCTCCAATTGACACTGAGCCATGCATATTTCTAGCGTAAATATATAATTTTCAAAAAACGCTGGTTCAGGATGTTTTGGAACTGAACACCGATATAGACCGGGAGCAGCGGCATGAGGTTGAAAGTTTATAGTCATTCGTGAATTAGTGTAAAAGCCCGTTCACACTCTTGCGACCTCTTAAACCTAGGTTCCTTACAACTTCTTAAACCAGAAAACACACTGGTGCCATCTATTGGGAAGCAGTGTAAACTCGGCGGTCCGGCATATTTTTTTTTATTTCTCGCGCATTATCCTTTCTTTCTTGGCTCGAAAAACTTTTGGCAATGTTATAAACGAGCCTTTCTATGGGTATTACGCACATTTGACCTCGGAAATCCCGCAAAACCTTCGCTCTTGTGAAATGCAGTTCCAGGGTCACCGCATAGATGGCGCCACAATGCCAGTTTGTTCCCTCATTTTAAAAACATTTAGCAAGTTTTAAGAGAACTCGTCTCTCTCAGTCGTACTCGGTCGCACTCGGTCGCAAGAGTGTGAACGGGCCTTAACGCGAGCATGTTTTCAACTTTTGATACGTCTAGAATTATGAATTACGAAAGGACTGTGTCCTCGGGTTCAGAGCGCTGTCTTAGTCGCCATTCTCTGATCTCCTTCCGTAAATCGCAGACTCTCGACGTGCTGCACTAAATAGTAAACCCACCAATTTTACGGAAATTGTGTCTTCTTTCGGGCTAAATG